AATATTTTTCTTTTATTATAAACTTGTCCTCTAGTAATCAATTGCATAGCTAGAACTTCAACTAAGTTTCCAAAGTATAAAGACAATCATTTATAAATGAAACGCTAAAAACAAATTCCAAAGACACTAACTTCCTTACCAAAAAGAAAATAAATAATTGCCTGAAAATCATAACTCTCTTTGCTCTTTAAATATAATCTTTAGTGTAAATGGGTATCTGCTCATTTGGTAACTTGTCATTTCGTGAACATTTAGTACAGAAACATAAGAAAATTAATATGAGACAAATGGAAATATAAGATCACAAAATACTTGTTACTATATTGGTACTTAGGAATGGTAATCCAGAGGCATTTTTCATAGGGAGGAAAAAAAGGCATTTATATCTCTATCTCATCTTGAAAGAGGTATTTTCCTAAATTCCTGGCATTAAAGACTTGAGATTTGACAATGTTTGAAAAGGCAGTAAATCATCTTTTATTAGTATCCATTTTTCAACATCAGAGACACTAACATAAACTAAAGTCAATATATGAAACCCAGGTTAAATCTGAGGACTCACACTGTTTTGGAACAAACTGAGTTGTTCTGGCTCCATGATTCTGTTCTTCTCCCCAGCCTCTGGTCTTTAATGTGTCCATCTGACTTCTTTGAGAAATTAGAGACATAAAAAAATGAGGAGATAAAAATTAAAATCTGTCATAAATATTCATTAGCTCTATTTGGCAAGCTTCTCTAAACAGGAGTCACTGATAACCCTGTAACATCAAATTACATCATAGCAGCATTGAGGAATAAAATAGAATCTAATCCTGATTCTAACGAGCACTGGTGGCTTAGTGGTTAAGCTCTCGGCTGCTAAATGAAAGGCTGCTAGTTCAAACCCCCCCAGTGGCTCTGTGTAAAAAAGACCTGAAGATCAGCACCATAAAGATTACAGCATAGAAATCTCTGGGTCAGTTCTCCTCTGCAATGTGGGGTAGTGAGCCAGAAGTGACTTGACACCACCTAACAACAACCAACAATCCCAATTCTAATACTTGAGCAAAATTACCTAATTTTCAGTTTCTCTAGTTGTGAAACTGAAAGTTCTCCACCCTAGTCCCATTTTCTCATAATGCACTGAAGACAAATAAAATCTCAGTGTGATAAAACTCAGGTAAAAAGGTTAAAAATTTTAAATGATATATTGACATGGGTCCTAAAACAATATATGAAAACCAGGAAGATAGAAAGCAAAACAGTTTGAGCATTTGCTAACATTACAAATGTTGCAAAAAGCCCACTGCTGTTTCTGACACTAGCTGGTCAAAACAGACAAAAGATGATCATTCTGACTGGCTGAGCTAACTAAAAAAAAGTTCCCAACCAAAGTAAAATTCTGGGAAAATAATTCTTTGCTAATTTTGTATTCAACTCAGTAAGCTAGGTAGTCATGTGACTTTTTCACCTTCAACTTGCTACTACACAATCTATGGATAACATCTGCATCCCCACACTACCTGTTAAAATGAACAACTGTACATCCATCCTCAGCTCACAATTTTTTTGCCCACCAACCTCTTCTCCAAAACCAAGTATTTACCTTTTTTTTGTTCATTTTTACCTCTGATAGTTTGAAGTTCCAGGAGGGGTAGAGTTTCCATGACCACCTTCTTTGAGTCGCTCCAATAACCTCCTGTACTTCTCTTTTTCCTCTTTCTGAACACCCTAAATAAGAGAAAGTATATTAGATAAGCAAGAGCATGTTAAACCTATAATTGTCATAAATGGAGTCTAACTCTTCAAATAGAGTTGTGTAGCTGTTGTGTCTTATCAAGTTTCTTCTGACTCATAGTGACCCTGTATAGGGTTTCTGAGACTTTTCGCATCTTTGCAGGAGCAGAAATCATAGATGTTTTTATTTAGCAACTTTTAAAATGTCTTCTAAACAAATGACCACTTTATAAGGTGAAAAATTTTAAATCTGCCTCTTCTAAAAAACTGATCAATGATCAAAAGCTATGCTTGGCTGTCTTCTTTACACAGAACACACTTCATTCACTCAGATGATATACTAGATCTTGATGACTTCTCAGTTTCTGACACCAGAACTCATCTCAAAAAGCTCAGCAAAAATAATCTACTTGCACACTCAGAACATGCAGCTTCCTAAATAGAACTGGTATCACTAAAGTAACCAATGACCTTCTATGGCCCAATCTAGCAGACCCCTTTTCAGCCTTTATTTCTTTAGCATCCTTCTGACTGGGCCTTGCTCCCAGGCATCATGCTCTCCTCTTTTGGCTTACCTTCTTAGTCTCCACTGTGGTCAGTCCTTCTTCTACCTGCCCTTAACTGCTACTGTTTCTGCCCACATGTCCTCTCACACAACACTCTACTCCTGAATAATGTCACAGCTCCCTTAATCTAATTCCAACAAATAAGGCAAAGGATATCAGAAATATCTCAAATCCTGTCTGCTTCTCAAAGGTCCTATCACCTATATATACGAGTCTACCAACAAATAGGACTTCTTGCGTGTTTTGCAGGTGCTTTAAACAATGCCTAAAACGCATCTACCCCCTAGCAATGTTGTTGTTATGTGCCGTGGAGTCAGTTCTGACTCATAGCGACCCTGTACATGGTTTCTGAGGCTGTAAATCTTTACAGGAGCAGTATGCCTCATCTTTCTCCCATGGAACAGCTGGGAGTTTCGAACTGCTGACCATGAGGTTAGCAGCCTAATTCATAGCCATTACGCTACCAGAGTTCCTTACCCCCTAGCAATCTGTTGTTGTGAAGCATCGTCAAGTCGGTTCCGACTCATAGCAACCCTGTATAGGGTTTCCAAAGAGCAGCTGGTGAGCTTGAACCGCCAACCTTGCAGTTCAAAAGGCTTTGCAGTCTGGTGCGTTAACAGGGTTATACAGGACTGAATCTGGGACTCAATCTTAGTATCTTCCCTCTTCACACCACACTTCCTTTAACCTCTCCCCACACCCAACCCACAAATTAACAGCTTCTCTTTTAAGGAGCTCTGGTAGTGTAGTGGTCACGAATCGGATTGCAAACCTCAAGGTCGGCAGTTCAAAACTACCAGCCGTTCCACGGGAGAAAGATGAGGCTTTCTGCTCCCATAAAGATTTACAGCCTTGGAAACCCTGTACAGGGTCACCATGAGTTGGAACCGACTCCAT